TTCGCGATTCTCATCGTCAAATTAAAAAGATTTAGGAGCAAGGCTGACTCACATCACCCAAACTCACAATCCAGCACAGTCACAACCTCCCCCCTTTCCCCTTACTATTTCTCTCCCAGCTACTCCCCAGTTTATTCCCCCGAACCGCCTTCTTCCCCGAGATCATTCTCTTCATTATCCACAGTCCTTTTGCACAATTCACCCCCATCTTCCTTGCAGTGTTCAGAAGCAGAATTCCTAAAAGCCATAGACGAGTTCTGCAACGAATTACCCGACTTAGAATCCGCTTCATCCTACCAAGATTAGAGTAACTAAAATATCCCCCTTCATTCTCTCCCTCCATGACTTCATATTTCCTTTCTCACTCACACGCGCACACATTTGTTTGTTTCTTATTTATTTAATTAAACCACGACATTGTATCACCCAGTCAGATTCTAAATTTAACAGTAAAATCGTTCCATTGTATTCTGACTGATGACCTCCGTATCAATGTAACACCCGCGAACTAACACACACACTCACACACATTCAGACGAAAACTAATATTATATTTTTATTTTTTCTTTCTTATATATAATCATGTATACCCATCATTCAATTACTAATATTATTAATTATTAATGTTATAATGTTTAATTTAATTATTATTATTATTATTATTTAATTATTTGAATATTTAATTAAATTATTCAAGAATTAAATGTTTTCCGTATAAGATTTATAATCTGTTAATATTAGCCTATCCCAATAATGTACAACGTAGGCGTAATATACACAGCGTAATACATAGAAAACGAGAAAATAAAATCAGCTGTGCAGTAAAAATCTATATTACCTAATTTGTAAAATCAATAACAGATGACAGATCGGTACGCGTGTAAGTGTAATTACGGGCCTGAGCGCGCGAGTTTTACGCGATATCATCGGCAAACTTTGATCGCTTATAACTCAAAAACTATTGCAGCTTTAAAATTTTTGTATTAGAATTTTTGTCTCTATTTTACTTCTAGAACACGCTAATAAAGTATTGTACGGAGGTTGTGAGACACCCTGTATATATACAGGGTGTTATTGAACAACCTTCCGTCCGTAAAATGACATATTCCTGATACAATTCTAAGACGATTTTTCCTTTACCAAAATTTGAATTGAAGCGTAATTTTTGAGTTAAAGCAAAAATAGTTAGCAAATCTCGCGTCGAGTACAGAAGGCAGGCAGGAGCGGCGCGGCGCGCCGTGGCGCGGCAGGAGGGGAAGGAGAAATCTGAAAATTTCGAAGTCGCGTGACTCTGGGATTTTCCCCGCTCCAAAAGTGCATATTATGCACATTAAAAATTCCTTTCTGTGTGAATAGCGATTCATCTCTGAATATCACACGAGAGGAATATCTGGGATCTCGATCGATGTTTCGCAGAAAATTTTCGCAAAACGTTCGTCTTGCGGGTTAATCTGCTGGTCGTAAATGTTGCACGCGTGCAACTCTTCTTCTTTTAATATTCTTTGTACGGTTGTACAAGATAAATCATATTCTCGAGCAACTACCCGAATACTCGTTTCGGGATTATCCTCGAAAGCACGTACGACTCTCTCCGTGTTCCGTACATTTCTAACGTAGCGATCTCTCCCAGTGTCGTGTTTGTTCGGCAGGACACTGCCAATATCGTAAAGTCTTTGAGCTGCTGCAAGTATCACGTGACCCGATGGATGTCTTCGGTTTGGATACAATTCGGCGTATCTTCTTGCAGCATGTTTCTGCTGCCCGTTTCTGCTACGCCATATGAAAGAGCGTATTGTCCATACGATTTAATTGACCACGACACTCCGGATCACGACGAAATTTTAGGAAATCAAACAGGATTAGGTGCTTTTGAAGATTTGACACGAATAGGTACCAATAACGCTTGTAGAAATGCTACACAACAAAGAGATATGTTACGGGATTATTTTGTTTCTCCACTGGGTGAAGAAGAAGCTCCTTGGCAGTACAGAATTGCATTTAGAGGCTTGATTTAAATTATGAATATTATAAAAGTGCAAAGGTTCTCTCTGTAATAATAGCACATTTATGTGATTCAAAAAGACATTACCATAATTAAATAAAGTTTATGAATACAATGAAAATTATATATGTATTTCTTTCATAACAATCTAATAAGTTATAGTGCTTTAGTATAGTAAATTAGTGTGATAAGTTACAGTAAATAAGTACAGTTTAGAAGTTATAGTAAGTAATAAAGGGATTTTAAGAAAGTATTTCTTAAAGTATAGCTATAGTAAGTAATAAAACAGGTGCTATTTTTTGTGCAATTTTAACATATTTCTGCAGTTCTAAACAGCCAATGTGCAATTGTAAATAATTACTCGTGCAGTGAATAAGATTATTAAAAGTTGTAACACATTAAACTTTTTTTCAAGTTTTAATACTTTAAAACTTTTAATAATCTTATTCACTGTGCGCGCGCACACACACACACACCCACATACACATACACACACACGCGAATGATTTACAATTGCATATTGGCTGTTTAGAACTGCAGAAATATGTAAAAACTGCACAAAAAATAGCTCTTATTATAATCTTATAATAAGAACATTGTACAATTAAAAACCTAGAAAATGCAACATAAAATAAAATAAACATTTGACTTGTAGTAATACTGATCGTAACGCTTACATTTCTAATTTAAAATAATAGGTATGTGTTTTTAACAAAAATATAATATGTACCTTTGAACTTAATATGCAGAGCAAAAAGTATAATACAAAAAGAGTTTACTTCTCAGAAATTTACATCTCACAATCAGTCATTTTTTAGATAGATAGTCTTTTAAATATCTTTTGGATGTCTTTCAGAGACATGTGCTGTCTGGGTTCTTATTTAGTTTTACATCCACAAAAAAAATATTTTTTTCCTTCATACTGTTTTTAAAAGATTGCTTCTTTAAGAAAGTTTATATCATTTTTTATAAACATAAAATGTATACTCAAAAACTTAATATCACTTTATGTCTCTATCGCAGAAATATACAGGAAAGGTGCAAGTCCCAGTATACTCAAAAACTTACAAATATTTTAACATATGAGACAAATTAATCAAATAAAAAGTTAATAGATATATATCACTTTTATAAATATATCACATTATTTATTATTTTATGTCTCTTTAATACTGGGACTGGCACCTTTTCTGTATATTTCTGCGACACGAAAAAAATCAGAGATACATAATAATTTCTTATTATCTGTTATCTGCTTTATTAAGTATTGCAAGAAATTTAATTCCTCGATATTAGTATTAGTAATAGTTTCAGTAGGACGAGTTATTCTTGCTGCGATATCAGATGCACTTTTTGAAAGTTGTTCTATACAACTTTCAATTACGTCTTTATTTTTCTTTCTCTTCATCATATCTGACATTGGTATTTTATACTGCTGGTTCTGTATTGATGCTACAGCTTTTCCTCAAATAGTGAAAGATTTTTCAGGCAATGATGCTTCAGATTGAGAGGTTGACATTTTTTTTGGTGCCTGCACTTTAATAATAGGCACTGATGACGTTGATATACTTGGAGTTGCACAAGAAGTCATGTTTGACTTTTTGTTGAGTACTGCAATAATAATACACATACACAATAGACGAACAAACATACACAGCACAAATATTAAATTCTTACATGACTTGTTTTCATCAGAGGACACGCATTGCATAGAGACAGGAAGAATATTATCCACATAAACAATGTCTTCCATAGTTTCATCCTCTTGTGTCATCTCTGCTTTCCTTTTTAAAACATTTGTACAGGAATCTGCTTCATCTGTGTAAAACTGTCTGTCATCTGGTTGTATGTAAAACTGACTGTTATTTGATTCTGTGTCAAAATAAGTAAAGTTGTCCTGTGTAAATTAAAAAAAATGTGTGTATATTTACCAACTACCGATGTATATCTACATTAAAAAAGGAATACATTACTATTATATAATCTTTTTCAGAGAAATTAAAATAAATAAATACTAAAACCATATGTACATCTTACTGTTGATATGTTCTGAGAGGAATAATAAATTGTTATAATATTCTCACGTTGATTCAAATCTCGCATCTCCATCTTGTACACCTGCTCCTGAGGAGGGAATACTAGCACTAACTTTCTTCCTTTCTTTTTGAAAAGTATCCCTTAGATGTTTGAATCGTTTTGCAGCCATATCTCCTAGATAAAAGTAAATATAAATTATATATTATAGTAGTTGAGAAAAAAGTTGTCAGAGAACAATCTAACCTATTTGTGTTATCAGCATATATGCTTAAAATAACAGATATAAACTACACAACACACATATCTACATATATACTTAACAGATATAACTACATATATACTTAAAACAAATTAAATTAATAAAAACTTACCTGAACAAGAAGGAATTAACGAAGCACCAATACATTGCCAAGCTAAATCTTTTGCTTGCTTATCTTTATACACTCATGAGCTCTTGGCATATAAACCAATGTTATTGCATACAGATGCAATAACTTGCCTCGTTCTTTCTGAAATCCAATATGGTAATATCTCCATTCTCACTGAATTGGAATTCATGATGCACGTGAATATTCATTTATATTTTCCCACTTCATTTATATTTTCCCTCGTCGACGCAATTACCGCAACGCAGAAAGTTAAATTAATCCAACTCATCGCGTATGATGGATTTGCGAATGCGTGCACGCTACGTGCGCTGCAACGTCACCTTGCATGCGCGTTGCGAGCTGCGTTTGGTGTGTTGCGGACTGTTGCGTCCTATGTAGATTTCTCTGCGTCTGCGAGCTGCGTCTGGCGTGTTGCGTCCTATGTAGACGGGCCTTAATAATAACCGTGCAGCAGTTAACAACAATACGTAGCATGAAGATTCGCTACGCTGTGAGTGAACAGGTGAGTGAGCAGGTGAGTGAGTGAGTGAGTGAATGAGTGACTGAATGAGAGATTGTATGAGTGTTTGTGTAAAAGAGAGAAAGAGAGCGAGAAAAAAAGTGTATGCGTACGTGCGTGTGTTTAAACGTCTCTCCCTCCTTCCTTCCTTCCCTTCCTCATCCTCTCTCACTCTCTCTCTCTCTTTCTTTCTTTTACGCACACACTCCGCCATACACACATCGCGTGTTCATGCGGGAACGGTGTTTACAGAGTTTCGCGTGAGCTGTTGTTATTTACAATCCGACATGCAAGAGCGGTGCGTACAGAAATTCGCGTGTGGCTGGGGCGCGTGGAGCTCGGGAGGCGAGCGTGGCTCAAGCGGCCGTGTTCTGCAATCGCCGGGTTCGCATGCAATTAAACTATGATTATTCTTTGTGGTACAGTACAGATCTTAAACACTACGGGGTGTCGCGTGGCCTTCAACGTAATTCCAACTGTCTGACTGCCTTATCCTTAAAAGGACGGGACATCAGCGTTCTCGGCGTTCTATCCTTAAAAGGACTGACGCTCCTTAGTAGCCTGAAGGCCGTGTGTGAGGGTGGAATCGGCGCGACACTGGCGGGAATTCTAATGTCTAATTAACTCTACAGTTAGAATGCGCGGTATATACAGTGCGGTCTTACAATACGAACAGGTCGCGGTATTTACAATGCGGTCTTACAATATGAACAGGTCGCGGTATATACAACGGTGCTAGAGTCTATCAAAACGGAGCGGTCTTACTGGTTACGGTATATGTACAACGGTCTTACAATAGAGTAAATATAATATCTAATTATACAGGGTGATTCAAAACAACCTGATGTCCTTGAAATGTCATATTCTTAAGCAAATTCTGAGACGATTTTTTTTTACTTGATGTCAAGGACATCAGGTTGTTTTGAATTACCTTGTGTATATATATACAGGGTGGTCCTCGTAACGGTCGCCACGATTTTTAAGGCACTTACAATAATCTGACATAAAAAAGTCATAAACAGAAATTTATCAGTTTCTAACCGGCAACAAAATGCAATAATAAAAATTGACCAAACATTTCATTTTCCGTAAAAAAGCAAGGTCATCTTCATTTTTTTAAATGGAACCCCCCTTTTTTATTGCATATTCTTGTAGCTTATCTCGAGAGCTTTTCAAAACACTATAATAAAGTATTTTTTCATTA